GTCAGGAGAAGTAAGTGTTAATAGTGAAACACCATCATCAATAGTAAAAATCTCTGGAGTAGAATGCATAATGAGCTACATCAAAAAAGTGAGAGAAAATAGACAGTGCAAAATAGAATGATATCCAATATTATCTGTATAACAAGTGCAAAACTTTTATTACTCACCTGTGTACTACGACAGATTTTAAAAGTATACTTTTTAAATATTTTCAATTTAAAACGACGAATTTGAAGATTCTACATGTTATAAGATTCACATAATAAAACATCAACAAATACAACCCCACAAATACTCTTTAAACAGGTTCATAGTTCATTTTGTGGTCTGAAATTTTCAGATATTCATAAAATCAGATGGCAACAGGCATGCAGTTTTTGTGATTAAAATTCTTATGATAAACTATTTTCAAGTTCCACAGTACTGCCCAGCAATGTAACATGAATGTACATGAATAATTACTGTGGGTGATATAAAGCACCGTGTGTCTTTGAGTTTTTTGCCTTTCATCAATTTACAATTATAACCTGTGTCAAATGACAGTGCTTTACAATTTTTCTCCATCCTCTCAGTATCTCTATCTAAGAAAAAAATGAAGTAAAAAATGGGCATTAAAAGGCAACAGAGAATAGAGTTATATACCTGTTAAAACAATAGCATTAATAGTTTTTAGTATCTTGTCCATATACTTAACACTGCAGTGATAATAGCCAGGACTTGCAAAATTAACTAGGATCTCATATTTCTTTTCATCATCCAATTTGTGAACATCATAATAGCACACATTAACTAAAGGAGCATCATTACTATCCTGCAAAAATAAACATAATCAAGAGAGGGAAGCAAAAGGTGCATGACAAGACTCAAATATGACTGAAATGATTCACATAAAAATTTACTGTTTTCATCTTTATGGGAAAAATAATTTCTAGCTATCGGCAGGCTCACATGTTTGATGAATCAAACGATATTCTCACTTTATTTGTTCTTGATTCAAACACTATCTCAGCTTCATGGAGGGCAGCATTATTCCCATATGAGTCCTTAGGGGTCATGATAATTGGAAAGAAGGTTTCACACTTCATAATAAGATTTGCTGTTTTTAATTCAAAAACAGTTTTATTTTCATCAGGAGGGCCTAAAAGGAAAATGGAAAATAAATTAAGCAGTGTCAAATGTTCTAAATATAGCAAAGTACACAAGTACATGTAGTTTCAAGAAATAGTATTAATAGTAATTTTAATAAAATAATAGCAAAAAAATTTTGATGTTGTAACACCAAAAAATTCAGAAAACAAAATCTGCAATTTTACTTAATAAATTATAGTAATGAATTGATATAGCCCATAGGCTAAATCAAAATTTCTGCTTGGTAAAGAACCATTAAAACTTTATGATACTGTATTTTGCAAAAAAACAGTATCAGTTGTTTTGTGAAATGGCTCAAATTTTTGTACTAAATATACCATTAATTGTAAACTAATAATTTTTTATCTT